ACCAGACGACATCTAGGCACACGGAGTTGCCTAGATCAGCAGACTTACGGATAGTGCTGGAGGAGAGGGCCCGATGGAAGGAAGACACCAGGGCTCGCAACCCTCGCAGGGTTTCAGCGCTACAGTGATTAGCCTCTAGGACACAAGGGAGTGTCGAGGTAGGGATGCCAATGCTGCGTCTTGCTTACGAACTAGCGGATAAAGTATTAGCAAGGTTATAGAGCTTGCCGTTCGTTCCAGCAATAGAGAACGCACCACTACCTTCAGGCTTCCACCAGCCCAAATTCACTACTTATTAGGGGAAGACAGATCCTTACATGCACTTAAGCCACTTTCGCCAGGTTATGGCAGTATACCGGCGAAACGAGGCTCTAATGTGTATCATGTTTCCATCTTGCCTAGGCGACCTAAATCTAACCTGGTTCAAAAGGCTACCACAAGGCAGCATCGCCTCATGGGCACAATTGGCAGAGGCGTTCGTGACTAAATTCAGAACGAACACCAAGACACCAGTAGAGATTGATCAGCTACTCTCCGTTGACATGGGCGAAAAAGAGACATTGAGGTCTTATAACAGTCAATATTGGGGGACTTTCAACCAGATTGGAGATTGCCCTACAAATCTCGCCATCGCACAATACAAAAGAGGTCTACTAGTTGAAAACAAATTGAGGGACTCAATTACTATGATGCCACCTCTCACGATGGAGGCCCTAATGGAGAGGGTGCATCAAATAAACTAAACATCATCTATATTCAAGGAAAGGCATTCAGTCCCCATTGTGAGGAGTTTTTTTACTTTCATTAAATCAGATGCCTTTGATAAGTTGGTCTTTCAGACAGGTGTAAACAGTATATTGACACAATTTTAAATTCGGATGCATAATTTTGGTCTAGACTTTGATGTTTTACATTATATACAGGAAGATGTGCACTGCATTCAAGTTGTCTATACTCCATACGACATAAATATGAGATTAAATATGGAATTTTAAATCAGATTGGATGCCTCTAGGGTTGCAGATTGCTTTTCTCAGAGAGAGAAGGTTTATCAGTTGCATAGAAGGGGAAGACAGAGAGACAGAAGGATCCATACCTTGAGGAAGAGGTCAGATAGAGGGAGTTGCAGACAACGCTGAAAGGGAAGGTCGATTTCGCGCTGAAGGAGCAGATTGACTTCGCGCTGAAGGAGTAGATCGATTTCGCGGGAGAGACGTGTTTGAAGAAGGAGCGGAATACTTTCGCGGGAGAGACGAGTTTGGAGAGCCTTCAATCACTCTCCAATTGAAGCCAGCGGGGAAGGGATGAGGGAAAATAGGAAGCCGTTTACCCAGCCGATTGGAGTGAGAATTTAGGGTAATATTAGCTAAAATAGCTAACAGGATTAATATGCCTCTTCCCTTGGAGTTGCTCTAAGTACTTGCTTGACAACTTTGTTTTTTCGTGAACTTTTAATTTTTTTTTTTTTTTATAATGTGAAAAATGTTAGTGTTTTTAGAATTTGTAAGGAAAAATATAATTGATTGATTTGTATGATATGATATTTTTAAATTTTTATAATTTTTTTGACATTTTTTATTAGAATATTAAAACTAGTGTGGAAAAATTCTCTAAACCACCAAATAACTTCTCAAACTCCCCTCCCCTATCACTTCTAGTGTGCCCAAGGGTCACGACCGCTTGTTTGGTAAGTGGAGTATTTATTTAAATTAAAATCTGATTATAAAAAATAGAAATTAAAAATATTTCTTTCTCAATTTTTAAATAATAATTTTTTTAACTTATTAAAATTATTTATATTTAATAAATTATAAATAGAAACTGTATAAAATAATTTTATATAAATTTCCAAATTAAAATAAATCATAATCATCTCTTACGCCATCTGTAAGGCTTTTCTCATGGAGTAGGCAGCCAGCCTGCTGCTCTCTTTGTAGTTGCGAATTTTGATTGGATGACAACAAAAGGACGTTACGGTTTTTCAATAGATTGTTCATATTCAAAATTTAATGAGTTTAAAATGTATTTAAGTTTAATTAATTTATTATTTTGATACAATCTTTAAAAGTTTTAAAGCGACATTATATTTACTTTTTATTTTTTATTTTTCTATAATCTCTTTAATGAAGTTGCAAGAAAGAATATATGCAAGAAGAATTTTAAAAGAATATTTGTATGTGAGTTAAATTTTTAAATTTTACTTGTCATGTCATGTCATTTGGGATGGCTTGGAAGAGAGAGATTATGTAAATGAATAATTTTTCAAATTTTTAATGGAGCCAAAATTTCAAGATCAATCCAATTAGAGGTGGCACTCTCAAGTAATGGGGGTTATTGTTGTCCGCATGAGTTTATCTCAAGTTTATTTTTAATGATTTGAATAGTTCATATTATAAGGAGAACATGGATCTACAAATAATATGACATATCTAAACCGAAAATCAATTAGTTTGATATTTTCAAAAACTGTTTTTACAAATGAGTTAGAGAACAATTTTCTAGGAAGCACCATAACACTATTTTCTGCTCTCTGTTTTGTGGTTTCCAGTCAGGAGTAGTATTATGAACACAAACACCCAAAAAAAAAAAAAAAAAACGAGTTTAGGCATCACAAATTCTTGACTCTAATTTATATTAAATTTAAATTTGAGTTAAAATCACTCAAAAATATTTATATTCCCTATATTAAAACTTACTGGGTTTATAAAAGAGATATTTTAATCAAAAAGTCAATGCAAAAAATAACTCAAAAATCTAATTTCCAAAACAACCTAGGGTTTTTTTTTTAATTTTTTTTTAAACTCAAATCAATTGAGACTCTAAAAATTTCAACATTGTTTTATAATATACAAATCTAAAGTTGTCATTATTCAAATTTTTATCTATATTATATATTAAGGAAAATGAGATTTTTAATGAGAAGAGCCTTATAAAGCTCAAAATCTTCATATTATTTTTTTAAAATTATTATTTTTTAAACAATAAAAAAATCTTTCACTGACTAATTTTATTGAATCATCAAAAAAAAATCTTATTATAACTTGGTTTACACATTTCAAAAGGACAACTTGTTTAACCTCAATGCTTGATATGGTAGGACAACTGACACATAATTGATTGATAAATTTTGCTTTACTTGTCATTCAGTTAAATTATTGAGTGTTTGTGCTTCCTCTCTTGTGGGAGTTAAATTCTGTGTTTCTGTGAAAGGAGAGACCTATTTTATAAGAAATGAGGAAGGTTAATTGCTCCAGGAAATCACTCAGGTTGACTAGTAAAACATATTTTCTAAAATGTTCTCTCTACTCATTAAGAGAGAATGAAGCAATAGAATCTCTCCTATTCAAAGATTATGTATGTACATAAATTGCTCAAAAATATAAAAACTGAAAAAGATTTTAAATTTATGGGATATGATTGCACAGATTATGATTTTATCTGCTCCCTCTATGCCAAAATAATGGTCCCTTTTGGAAAATTTAACTTTTTTTAATAGTAAAATTATTGCACTTTAAAAAAATTGATTTTCTAAAATTATCCTTTGGTAGTACAAAATCAATTAAAATAGTCAATTTCTAAACGAGCTCATTAGTCCTTTTTTTATGTTGTTAATGAGTTTAAAAGAATGGCAAAATAGAAAATTTATATTATTTTTGTACTTGATTTTTGAAAAAAAAAACTAATATTTTAAGACAATAAAAAATAAAATAAGGGACTACTATTGTGGGACGGAGGAAGTATCTAAAGCGGAAAATTGAGAAGCTTATTTTGTACTAATTTACACAAAATAAAAATAGTAAAGTACAATAATATGTTGCTAATATAAAAATAGTGAAGTACAATAATATAAAACAGTGAAAAAATAGGATAAGAAACCAATCACAAGTATCTAAGTAGACAATGGTGGTGATGTAGAGATTTTTTTGCAGATCAACAATGCTACACGTATACAAAAGTGCACAGAAAAATCAATGTGTGGTTCAACAAGCAAACTATTTATTTATTTATTTATTATTTTCTTTTTGGTCGGCGGTTTCAATTAGAAGATAGTATATTTTTCATGCAAAATGTAGAGCTATCCATTAATTTGTTTCATATTATCTCTCATTAATTATTTACAAAACTGCGAATATGGAATTCAGGTAGATACTCTGCTTGCATATCAAACAAATCATTGATAATTTAATTAAATGTCATATCTCACATAGTAATTATAGTTTATTGACAAATAAGTCATATTTTCTAAAATGTTCTCTCTACTCATTAAGAGAGAATGAAGCAATAGAATCTCTCCTATTCAAAGAATATGTATGTACATAAATTGCTCAAAAATATAAAAATTGAAAAATATTTTAAATTTATGGGGTATGATTGCACAGATTATGCATCTATCTAAAGCGGAAAATTGAGAAGCTTATTCCGTACTAATTTACATAAAATAAAAATGAAAATAAAAATAGTGAAGTACAATAATATGTTGATAATAAAAAACAATGAAAAAATGGGATAAGAAACCAATCACAAGTATCTAAGTAGACAATGGTGGTGATATAGAGATTTTTTTGTAGATCAACAATGCTACATGTATAGAAAAGTGCACAGAAAAATTAAAGTGCATAGAAAAATCAATGTGTGGTTCAACAAACAAACTATATATATATATTTATTTTTTTTGCTTTTTGGTCAGCGGTTTCAATTAGAAGATGGCATATTTTTCATGCAAAATGTAGAGCTATCCGTTAATTTATTTCATATTATCTCTCATTAATTATTTACAAAACTACAAATATGGAATTCAGGTTGATACTCTGCTTGCAAATCAAACAAATCATTGATAATTTAATAAAATGTCATATCTCACATAGTAATTATAGTTTATTTTGTAACAGTCAAACATCAAAGTATATTTATGTTGGCATTGAGTTAGAAGAAAATCATCACAAGCTGTGTAATTTCATACGTAACCTTTCAGTTCTTCCAAACATATCTGAGCTGCAGGTATGGCAAATGGCGGTGGCTGCGGTGGTGGTGGCAGTGGTGGCAGTTGCGGTTGTGGCTGCTGCTGCACCCACAACGGAGCTAAGGTTGAGGAGATACAGCCACATCCAGTGATGGAGCAGCTGCCAGGCATCCAATATTGCATCAATAGTCCTCCTCCATGGAGTCAGTCTCTCTCTCTCTCACCATTTTGTTGCATTCTACTACTTCTTTTGCTTCTTATATCATTGCAATATTTGAATTGAATTTATCACCTATATATACATATATTACTTTATTTTGCCTTCTTGTGTTGTTTTGATCTTTAAAAATTGATTGAGATAATGAATCCAAACCAAACTTTTTTCAAGAATTTGTCTGGGACCTTCGGAATATTGTTTATAATTTTTGGATACCAGAAATGCTTACTTACCCGGATAAGTGTCCATAATAAATCTATGAAGTAAATTTAAACTTGGCATGATGTGGACTACACCAAGATGAATTTGATCCACATATTTTTAATGCGGAACTTTTCTATATATATATATATATTTTTTTTTTTTCCCAAGGTATATAGCAATGCACAGATACAGAAATGGTATATACTGATTTTTTTTTTTTATTTTCAATAATGTCTATTGGAAGTGCTTCTATTTGTAAATCAAGATGCAGATGATGATCTTACTTCAACAATTTGAATGAATAGAAGATGGTAATTTTTTAATTTTCCCATTTTTCTTCGTTATTTTGATCATTAAAAATTAATTATGATAATGAATTCAAACTTTTTCAAGAATTTGTTTGAGGCCTTCTGAATACTGTTTTCAGCCATCCATCTGATTTAAGCATAGCTATTTTCACCAATGTCTCTTGGAAATGATGATTGAACTTCTAATATATATATATATTTTTTGATTCAAAGAACTTCTAATATTTGAATGAAGAGAAGCAAGTACTTTATTTATTTTATTTTTTTTTGAATAATGCAGTTGAGGCTCTGGTTTTGGGGTTCCAACATTATATCATGACTCTAGGCACTACTGTCTTGATTCCAACTATGTTTGTCAATCAAATGGGTGGTGGCAATGTAAGCGCACTCACACTCCTATTTTCATGACCTCTGTCTGCTTTTCCCCCAGTCCACTTGCCCCCGGCTCAATTCACCAGTCGTTTATTTTATTTTTTTTGTTCACAGGTTGAGAAGGCTAAGGTGATACAGACCTTACTCTTTGTTTCAGGGTTTAACACATTGTTACAGCCCTTATTTGGTACCCGGCTTCCATCAGTAATCAGTGGTTCATACTCCTTTATTGTTCCGATGACTTCTATTCTACATGCCAAAAGATATCAGACGACACTAGACCCTTATGAGGTGGATTGCACATATTTCATCAAATTTTAATACAGTTTTTTTACAAATGGATGGTGCCACTTCATACTGTTTTTTTTTTTTTCTTAACTTTCGCGTTACGTGTGATTTTCAGAGGTTTGAACAGATAATGAGAGGTATGCAGGGTGCTCTTATCATAACCTCATGTTTCCAGATGCTAATAAGTTTCCTAGGCTTATGGAGAAATGTTGTAAGGTCATTATTGTAAAGTACAGCTTTCGTACATGGCTATGCACAAATAAGCTGCTTACTTATTCAAACCATCTTTCACATGTGGGATATACTTTTCGTTTTGATCTCTTTCTTCTCTGTTTTAGGTTTCTTACCCCACTTTCTATGGTTCCTCTCATAACTTTTACTGGGCTTGGGTTCTGTTATCTTGGTTTCTCAATGGTAAGATTTATCGATCCTTCATTATTTGCTCTCTCTCTAATCCGGGTTATTCCAATCAAGTCCTGCTATAGCTACTGTATTTGGTCCTTGTAAATCTTTGTTCAAATTAAGGTTTTGTCTAGTCCCCAATGACAACAACAACAACAATATATACTATGTTGAAGATCCAACTTTTCTCGAATTGATTCATTCTTCCTCTCCTCCTTCCCTAATCTTGGCATTTTTCACTTTATAGTTGAGCTCATGTTGCTTATGTGGTATAACTTTTAGTTTTTGATATTTCATTAATATATATATATATATATTTTCAAAACATAAATTTTACTATTAAACTATTTTTCCTTCTCTATTATTTTACTTGTAGCTGGCAAAGTGTGTGGAAGTTGGGCTCCCGGAGTTAATTTTAATGGCTATCTTCTCACAGGCAAGTAATTATAATTGTCAACTGCTCAATTATCAATCTTCTTATTTTGTCACGGAAGAGTCACAATCATCTAATCTCATTGTTTTGCATTAAATTAATAATGATGAGTAGATTAAACAGTGTGATGACCTATTGGATTTGATTCATTTACAGTATCTTCCCCATTATGTAAAAACAAAGAGGCGCATATGTGATAGATTCTCAGTTCTGTTCTCGATTTCATGTGTATGGGCTTATGCACAAATTCTGACTTCAAGTGGTGCATACAACAAAGCTTCTTTCGACACTCAAGCTAGTTGTCGCACTGATCATGCCGGACTCATTAGTGGAGCTCCTTGGTGAGACTTTTTATTTTTATTTTTTTATATATAAAGTATTTTTGTAGATTCTAAATTGGAATTCAATTCCATAATTGATATGGGTTCTTGCATATTCTATCATGTTTTCTTTTCTTTCTTACATACACAGTCGGATATATTTCTCAACTCCTCGTTGACAATCTTAGTGTGTTTCTCTTATATCGATACATACAGGATACACATTCCTTATCCATTCCAATGGGGGCGGCCCACTTTTAATGCCGGTGAAGCTTTTGCAGTGATGGTGGCTTCTATTGTTGCTTCTATTGAGGTTTGCTCCTTGAACAGAGTTTTTAACTGAAGTGGCTAAACATTAATTCTTTCCAACCTCATCTGTGAGTTTTAAAATTTTGGACATTTTATTCATTTTATTTGTTAATTGCAGTCTACCAGCACATTTCTTGCTACCGCAAGATATGGGAGTGCCACGCCTGTTCCAGCTTCCATTCTCAGCCGCGGTGTTGGCTGGCTGGTAATGACATGCAATGCTGTTTCATTCACCCAATGCAATTATTCTCTGATTGAGTTTGAACTGCACGGATTTCGCAGCTTCACACAAAGTGTGATCTTTTTTTGTTTCAGGGATTTGGGACTCTGCTGTCTGGTGTATTTGGCTCGGTGACAGGGCCTACTGCATCAGTGTAATAAACTCGAACTTTGAAAAAACTGTTTTTTGAACACATAATAAATGTTTTCTGTGAAACACCACTTTTTATGGTTTGTAATGTGTGCAGTGAAAATGCTGGTTTATTGGCATTGACAAGAATTGGAAGTCGAAGAGTCATTCAAATATCGGCTGGCTTTATGATTTTCTTCTCAATAATAGGTTTGCTCTTCCTCTTCCCCTTTTCTACTATGATGTTTTATTTTGCTAAATTGTTGGAGCAAATGATCAAACTAGGTGTTTTGGATACATTTAGTTTTCACAAACTGTTAATTCGTTTTTGAGATTGTGAAGACAGAAATGCATCTAGAGGAATATGGATTGATAACATGGAAGGAAAAAAAGAAAGCAATAATGTTATTTTGTTAGATCTTATATTTTCTTGGTACAAAAAAGAAATTTTTTTTGATAATCATATTTTCTCACGCTGAAGTACTTGATATGTCTAACCAGGGAAATTTGGAGCGTTTTTCGCTTCAATACCTCTGCCAATTGTAGCTGCTTTATATTGTTTCTTCTTTGGTTACGTATGTAAGTATTTTATTCGCTTTACTCGATTATATTATAGAATTGTCTTCTAGTATTTTATGAAGTTCCAAGTTAGTTGCATTTGAAGCACATTTCAAACAAGATTAGGGGACTTGATTTCTTGATATCCATTGGGAAACATGGAAACATGGTGTTAACCATGCCATTACATTTTAAAACTCATTTGCAATGTGTTTAAGGATTTCTCTCCACACGCCTTCAAACTCAGTGCACAGGAGAGAAGCCTAGCATGAAAGAGATTTCACTCACGCGTTATGTGTAACATGTTTCGTGCAGCTGCTTCAGGGCTTGGTCTTCTCCAATATTGCAATTTGAATAGTTTCAGAACCAAATTCATACTAGGCTTCTCTTTCTTTCTTGGACTTTCAGTACCACAATATTTCAGGGAATTTCAACTTAGTTCAGGAGCCAGCCCCGTTCACACGCATTCTAGATGGGTACATATTCTTGACAATATCTACACATACACTATCTGCTAGCATTTTTCATAAGCAATTACTTTTTTTTTATTATTGCTTTAAAAATGCAGTTTAATGACATAGTAACTGTCATCTTCACGTCCCATGCCACAGTGGCTGCTTTAGTAGCCATGTTATTGGATTGCACTCTATCCCGCGAGGACGACGTGGCGCGAAAGGATAGTGGCTCACAATGGTGGGAGAAGTTCATCTTCTATAATGCAGATGTTAGAAGTGATGATTTTTACAAACTGCCTTGCAAACTCAACAAGCTTTTCCCACCTTTGTAAAAGGTTTTAGGAGGAGTTTTGGATGAAAACTGTCATTACTTATTGCACCTTATTTTTAATTTTAATTTTAATTTTTTTAAATTTTTAGATGAAGGAATTAAGTAGTCGGATCAGAAACTTAAACTCATGCTTTCCATTCTTTGGTAGCTATGTTATTATTATTGGACAATTTTCACTATATTAAAGTAGATTAAATTTTGTTGCGTACTAAACAACAACTAAAATATAAAGAAATAAAGGAAATGAGAGAATTTGTTTGATTACAAAAATCAAACTAGAAATAAAACAAAAATAAATAAAAACAGATTTTATTTTGTTACAAAAATAAAATTAAAATCTGATTTAAATAAATAAATAAATAAAACAGAATAATAAATTAAACGACTTACTTGATTAATTTCTTTAAATAATTATTTGATTAAGTCCAGTGTTTGACATTGTGTCCTTAAGACAGATTCGTCCTCTCCTCGGTACTTTCAAAATGTGGACGGCTATCTCTCAGGATGAAATGATCAACTACAAACAATAGCAACACTACAAATTATTTGCCTAACGAACACACTAAGTGTTATACTCTTTCTCACAAAAATAAAATGCAGCAAAATGAAGAATAGAATTTGCAGAGGTGAAATACGCAAAATCTCAATCTCAAACATCAAATGAGGGTTGTCCTATTTATAGATGTAAAGGTGGCTGCAGGTTTTGAATTGAACAGGTATGAAACCTGTTGGTTTTGAATTCAAACAGATTTGAATCTGTTGGGTTTATAATTCAAACAGATAAAAAACGGGAAGAGCCCTGTTTGGATGTACCAAAAATAAAATTAAATTCAAATATTTTTGGCCCAAAAAGATTAATATTGGGCCAAACAAGCCCAACCAGACGGCGGCACGCGTGTGGTGATTTTTGGGTCTAATGGGCCCAGCTCAACTCATTTTGCCCATAACCTCTCTCTCTAAAACACTTGGGTACCCCTTGGGGCACACCCAAGTACCAAATCCATGTCTTATAAACCCATTCAAAACTTCCCACCAAATCAATGTGGGACAACCTTATTCAAACCTTTAAGGAATTTCCACCAAAACTCCATTTTCATGGAGCACACTTTGGCTTTAATTTCTCATTCACTCGGTAATGGTTTTGAGCAACCAAATATACCACGTGAATCACAACGCGGCATAGAACGCGTTACCACTTTGACCAGTGACAAACGACGCTCGGGACCCACCTAAAAAATAGACCAAACTTAAGAAAAAATTCTAATTTTACCTAGAATTTTATAATCATTTCCAACAATTATCAACAATTCATCTCTGCTGTTTATGATTATGAAATTCCAAGTTTTGCTGAATTATAAAAATACACAACACCTCATACCGTTTTCAGTGATATGTGATATGCTGATATAATTATACTAATTTCTTATATTAAATGGATAAATTACATTAACTGCACTTCAAATTATTATATTTTACCATTGTATTTTTATGTGACAAAAGACCACTTTGTATTAAAATCAACTAAATTAATCAAGGGTTTGGTTAACGAGTAGTCTAAAGATATTGGTTAACAATGTTTAAATTCATTGTATATTACAGATTGCATGCACTCTCATACGTTATGTACAAGTATTTTTTAACTTCTTATCGAGTGTTTTGAGGGTACTTATTAACAAAAATCAATTAATTAAATAATCTTTCAAAACCAATTGTCAAGGGTAAACTAGTAATTTTGTCTATTCATTAACCCTTTTTATTTTTAAAATAGTATAAGGGAAAAATTAGAATTTTATTAAATAAAAGAGTGGTTGGTAAACATTAATATTGATTTTACTCCAGGAATGATTTCCCTTTATTCTATTCATAATTTGAAGGGCAAATTACTGTTTGTCCTTATATTTTATCTTTTATGTCATTTTGGTCCATATACTTTAATTTGGCACAATTTTGACCTTTAATTTTAAATTTTGTATCAATTTAGTCTAATTGATAATGCCTTTAGAGTTTTTGAATGAAAATAATCACTAAATTGATTAAAATTAACTCATTGAGATTGGCAAATTTATAATTTTACTCTAAAAATATTACGCATGCCATTTATATGTGTAGGTAGTGTGGTTGTTTTGTGGGTTTTTTTGGTTGTGGTGGTTGGGTTTTTTGTGGAGGGAGAGATTTTGGTGGCATTTCAGTGGATACAGGCGAAGGACTGTCAAAAGGGGAGATACTTAAATCCCTGATTGGATTTTTGGGCATATGGGTTTATTTCTTCCAATATCTTCCAACAGCTATTTTTGAAAAAATGAAAGCGACAGCAGGGCATGAGTAATATAGTGACAAAACTGTATAATTTTGAAGTAGTAGACAGACTTTCAAAAGGGGAGATACTTAAATCCCTGATTGGATTTTTGGGCATATGGGTTTGTTTCTTCCAATATCTTCCAACAGTTTCATTTGAGAACCCTTTTTTATTTGGAAAATTTTTTAAAATGAGTACAAGAATAACTTGAAATATGAGATTCTTCAAATATTTCAAAAATAATACAAAAATTCCTTAGTAAGTTTTGGACAAATGTATAATTTCAAACTGTAACACTCAAACATAAACAGTCTAAAAAAATTTCTTAATGTACTTTTTTCAAACTTAACACTCCTATATAACATTCTAAAAAAACTTCATAGTGTAATATTCCAATGTTACATACAAAAAACTTCTTAGTGTATTTTTTCAAACAAAAAAAATCTAATATAACACTCCAAAAAAATGATGAGAGATTCTTCAAACCATTCCAAAAGCAGTACAAAAATTTCTTACAAAGTTTTGAGCAAATGTATAATTTCAAACTATGAGTGTTACGTTTTAAAAAAAATAAACTAAAGAGTTTTTTAATGTTTTTGTGTGTGTGTTACATTGGAGTGTTATATTTGCTATTACATTGATTGGAGTGTTACCTTTAAAAAAAATAAATTGAGAAGTTTTTTCTGTGTTACATTATAGTGTTACGTTTGGAAAAAATAAACTTGAGTTTTTTTAGAGTGTTACATTATTTAAGTGTTACATTTTTGTTTGTAATGTGAAATTTGTTCCAGAATGAGAGAAAATCCAAAACTTCTATAGTGCAGATTGTCCAAATGTATAATTTTACATTTAGAAAAACTCACTTTTATCCCTTTAAAATTAAACTCGAACATGTAAGTAACTATCTTTTTGTGTAATTTTCACTTAAATGAGACGTTTGTATTCATAAGAAAAAGAAAAAGAAAAAGAAAAAGAAAAAGAAAAAAATTTAAACAGTTCATAAGATCATATTTTGAATTTTTTTTTTAGTCATATAATTAATAAATCATTTATAAAAAAAATGACTAATTGTTATGTAATAAAATTTTAAATAAGTTTAATGTAATATAATATAATTATGTTAAATATATAGAATTTATTTTATTTTTTAAAAATTTCAATTGCGGGCCTAAGTGCCAAGGCCCACGTGTGATTTGACTTCAGCGTACCAACACATGAATTATTTATTTTTTATCCAACAAAAAAAACATTTTTTTTTAAAAAAAAATTACCACTAAAAAATCCATTCTTTTCTTTCACTTACGTGAGATTTTAATGAAAATATAAAAATACTAATAAGATGAGAAAAATATTACATATACATAATAAAATTATCAACTTTATTAAGTTTAAATGAATGATAATATGATATTGCAATAAGTAACCGACAGGGGTGAAAGTGGCCATCAATCGGAGTAGTGGAGATAGTGAATAGATGTGTGGTGAGAGAGTGGAGAGTAGTGAAGTGAACAAAAACTTTTTTCAAAAATCAAGTAAGAAAATAATTTTTTATTTACAATTTACCAACTTTTTTTGAAACCTTATATATATATATATATATTTTTGTTTTGGATAAATTACATATATACTTTTTGAGATTTGTTTTGAGATTTGTTTAAATTATGAATTACCTCATATGACTTGACCTAATAACTTTGAGGTTATGGGTTCAAGTCTTGGGACCACCACTTTGTGTATTATGCCAAAGGTTAGGTGTGGACTTAATCTTTACCTTCCCAAACACACATTAATGTGTACTAAGTGGGCGTTGTTTAAGTTTAAGTTTATTTTAAAAATTACAAATACTCCCTTATTATAATTTTTTATTTAATATAATTAACAAAAAAATAAATTTTCTAACTATTAATAATCATCATAAAAAATAAAATTTCTAAATGCTCTACCATATAATAATAAAATTGGTTGAATTATTTATTGAAATATACTATTGACATCAATAATAGCTGTGACTAGATGATTTATTGGTAAAATGACCATTTAAACTTCAAGGGACATGATATAATTTTTAAAATCACATAAAATAATTCACATTGTAAGAAAATTTTAGAAAATATTACAAAACAAAAAAAAAATTCAAACAAAATATCAAATCAAATTCCATAATCATTTCACTTTTTCTCTCACAAATATCACATCCAACCACAAAAAAATTCAACTATATTTCCAAACACAAAAACTTTGTTCCCCAATAATATTCTATAACTAAAAAAATCTATAAAAAAACTCACTTCCCAAACACTAGAGGGTGTGTTTGGTAACGTTTACGTTTTTAGTTTATATTTACAAAAAATTTATAAACTGATTTTTGTTTATTTTTAAAAAAACATAAACTACAAATGCGTTTGGTAATTGACAAAATATTTAAAAAAATTTAAAAATATAAAAAAGAGTGAGAAATGGCAAGTGGCGGCAGAAGACGGTGGAAGACGGTGGTGGAAAGTGCTGACGGTGGGTAGTGGGTGGCTGGTGGTGGTGGGTGGGCAGGTAACGGTGACAGGTGGTGGGTGGTAGCGAGTGGGCGGCGGTGGCGGTGGCGGCAGGTGGGCGGGGGGGGGGGGGGGGGGGGGGGGGGGGGGGGGGGGGGGGGGGGGGGGGGGGGGGGGGGGGGGGGGGGGGGGGGGGGGGGGGGGGGGGGGGGGGGGGGGGGGGGGGGGGGGGGGGGGGGGGGGGGGGGGGGGGGGGGGGGGGGGGGGGGGGGGGGGGGGGGGGGGGGGGGGGGGGGGGGGGGGGGGGGGGGGGGGGGGGGGGGGGGGGGGGGGGGGGGGGGGGGGGGGGGGGGGGGGGGGGGGGGGGGGGGGGGGGGGGGGGGGGGGGGGGGGGGGGGGGGGGGGGGGGGGGGGG